ATTTCCAGAATTACCAAGCGTTGCCTTCGCTTTTCATCCGTCTATCTTTAGATTGACCACAATTTAATAATCCCTTGAAAGGGCGCATCTATTAATAACGTTTATCCTCGCTCGTTCCTTTATCAGCGTCAGATTAAAGAGCGCAACTCGTGGAGGAACGAGGAGGAAAATAGAAGCATTTCGAACTAGGCCATTGCAACTAATTTTAAATGCATCGATTAAACGGCTCTTTACCCGCGATTAATATCCAATGACGGAATGCTTGATACTTTGCACAATTCCAACGTTAATCAAATAACTGTAATACTCGTATATTTATTCTCGAATCTGCCTCGATAAATATGAACGATCGCAGCTAACAAACATCCTTCTTCTAAAAAACATCATCCCCTGTTTGAACACTCGGAAACATAGATACACAAAGTTTCGATTTCGTTCAGAAACATTCAACTAGTAGGTTCTATGACTTCCTGACAAAAAGCATCTTCACGATCCTCCGTGAAAAGTAGGCACAACAACAAGGCTCATTGTTCGGCAACGGGTGCAGCACAAGGATCCTCTCGAACGATCCGTGCTGTATCCGTCGTACACGGAGCTGTTTAGTCTCATTGTAAAAGTGAAATCGCCTCGTGTTTGGGATGTTATTTGTAGCACATTAGTATTGTATCGCAGTACGCCGGGGTTAGACCGGGGCGTTGGAGTGTTTAAGGGTGATTACACGCAACGACAGGGGTGGCTTTATTGGAGGAGCACGCCAGTGATGCTCAAACGATTCAAGAACACGTCCTCAGTCATTAAGAATTACTCTTAGCTTCATTATTCCATACAAATTTTGCAATAAATTAAAGAAAAACTTTAATTATGCAAATCTAAGAGATGCAAGGTTAATGCCTGGAAATTTGAATAAACTGAAAATCGTGTCGAAAATCAAAATCGTTGGGAAAGTCGTGCGATCATCGAAGCAGTTTAGCCCGTTTAACTAGAAAGTGACCACCCTCCGCCCGCTGGAATTGATTTAACTCGCACGCTGCACGAGTCACGCCGCATCGTCAATTATCCACGAGCGTATCCGCAGTGCGGATTCACAGACGCTGCCTGTTTCGTCGGCACCGAATCGAAATGAGAACGACTGTATAGAGGATTGAATTTGCACGACAGTTTGACAGAGTCGAAGGAGAAGGGGGAAATAGTATGGGCTAGGGTAGCAAGCAGGGTTGATGGAGGGAGGGCATAAAAAGCACGCTGAATAATAGACTCCAACCCTCTCCAAACATCTCCCTTCTCTATGCATACCATGGTCACGGTGCCCTGGACCGGAATCTAGGCTTATATTCGAAACGTGTCCGCCTCCCCTTCCATCCCCCTTGCGCTACATTCACGATAGAGCTTCGATAAACTTGTAATACAGCCGAAGGAAAAATAACTATTAACCGTGTCCTACATTTCCACCACTCGTCTACTCTATCAATTTCCACTCGAGTTACCATCCCCTGTAATGAAGTTTTTAATCTTCCGTGTACTATTTTTTTTTTTTGTTAATTTGAATCTAGAGGACGTCGGTGTATTACAGACAGAAGGGTTGAAGTTCTAATATAATTAAGTCTCGTTAGAAAAGCCAGAAAATTCTCATTCTTCTTTTCCTGGAACCACACGATCGTTAAATCAAAGGGCAAGCGGATCGTTTGGAAGTTACAAAAGCAAGCGAAACCGCGTGAGCGTGAGATGCTCGAGGACACCTCGTAGGGCACGTAACTCTTTCGAACGACACAGACCACCGCCATCGTCTAACAATAGAGGAAATCTGTTAATACCGGCACGAACGACAATGCGTTCGACGTGGTGTGAGCGGCTCTCGAATACCTTTTTACCGGCGCTAATCCGAATTTGTCGAGAGCGAGGATAAAGCGATCATCGTCCCGGAACGATGCGCTCGAGTAGTGCTAGGACACGGTAGAAAGGGCCGCGGGGATGAAAGATACAACAACGATGGAAAAACTGATTTCTGCCGCGATACGCGACCTCGTCAGGACTGGACTCGTCACCGTGTGCCAGAGCCGTTACACAGCCGTCTGAACGACGTTAACGTTGATATTTCCCTGTAACGGACCACTATGTTTCTACCACGGACTGAGATTTTCCGGGTCTAACTGGTCGCGCACCCCTTGGCAAAGTGCTTTTCCGTCCAAAGTAACCGGGCTTGGCGTGAGCGCGTTTTCGGTGCGTTTCGAGTGTAATCCGCGTGCAAAACGCATGGGAAAAATGTCTATAAAAATCGCTGGTTGCTGCGTGTTTTAGATAGGTAGATTTTTCATCGGTTTTCATATTTATCGAAGGGGTGTCATGGGATTTTAACAACGCATGTAAGAAAATACATCAATTATCGCGCAATCGTTAATTGCTCGGTCGCCTGTCGAATCGCTTAATGTCTTCAGGATCGCACTAGTCATGCGCGAGGAGGTGTTGCCCCGTGGCCAGGCAGCGTTCCACGCAGTCTGACGCAACGTGCAATTTTAATCCCGGAATTACTTCCATTTTATTTCAATTTTCTTGCATTTAAACCGTCTAAGCGAGTTTACCTTGGCAATATCATTGGCGAGCAACGTCGTGCAGGACGAGACGAGCGTCGAGACAGGGGTGGTCGGTGGAGAAAGAAGAAAGCGGGACGGGCCGGGAAGGGAAGGGAAGGGAAGGGAAGGGAAACGTAGAAGGTGGGCGGAGAGATGGGTCGGAGATGGAGAAGGTGGAAGTACCTACTCTAATAAATTTACGACCTAAAATGGTTAAGCCGCGTTAGCCCTGTTCTTTATATTTCCGCGAGAGAAGAGGAAGAAAGAGGTATTCGAGCCACCAGCAGTCGCGCGCTCTTCTCTCTTCGAGGGAACAAGAGGAAAACATGGTTGTATACGAGAGAAGAATCGTTGCTGTGAGAGGGGGATAGTAAGTAAGAGAAAGAGGGATGAAAGACGAGAAGAAGTGGATATATAAGAGATACGAAGGGAAATTCGCTTATTTTCCCATCATTTCGACGTGGCATCTTGTCCATGGCCTTTCCTCATCCACGGAGCCAGGAAAGAAAATTGCTTCTCGTCCTCGAAAGCGGAATATCGTCCTGATGAGCCCGGGAATGCCTCGATATCCGTCCCCCCCAGATGTACCCCCTCGTCTCATCCAGCTTGCTAGATACACAGCTCGTTTCTCTTCTGTTTCTTCAACAACGAGGACGAAGATAATGACGATATTCAATTTATTCGTTATTATTCGAACGCGACACTTCTCGTTGCAACTGCGTAAAAGGGGTGCTCAGAAAGGGGGGAATGATAGAAGACGAATAGTCGAGGGAATTCCGAGAGTTAAACGGAAAATTATGGAGCGGATTACATAATAAAAGGAGGCAGAGAGAAATACGTCTGGTGCCACTGTCGGGACGGAACGGCGCGAGATGAGACGCAGAAAATTCTCGGTAGACGCACGCGCGTAACGTCGCGACGCGGCCCGTCGGCGAGACGGGGAGGATATTTGGCGCGACGGAAGTCTTGCTGGGAAATCCGATTTCAGGATCTGCAGATTCTCGAGAAATCCGATTGCTTTATTCGTTGTATCACGCTTCGCTTGAAACCAATGGCTGTGTAAACGATAGGAATTTCGAAACGGTATCCCGACGTACTACTATTTTATTTTATTAAAAGAATATGATCTATGATAAACGACTATCCAATTAAGTTCTAGTAGCGAACGTGTTAAGTAGCTTTTAATCGGTCAATTACCTTGTTCGATCGTTATACATTATGCATATAAATGAAGCAATTTAGAAACACTTAAAGCAATTCCATTTCTACTCTCCTCCGGCATCGATCATTTACCCATAACCGCTGTATAATCCAGGACTGGTCTCAACAGCCCACACGAACGTGACTGTGCGATTTAGCAGGGACCAAAAAAGGATGTTCGAGTCCGACCACTTCACGCTGCTACCATCGACGGATCACCTTCTGCTCTCTTTATCTTTTCCTTCGTCTCTCTTCCTCCCGCGTACATTCGTCACAGACAGGCTGAATAGGGCCTATCGGCGTGTCTTTGCAGCACTGAATAATTCATAAGGCGAGAAGCCAGCAGCCTCGATACTTATCGCGATAGACTTTAGCGGGCTGCCAACAGCAGCCATGTTACAATAAAGAAATCAACATGGCCGACCCGTCCTTCTCGTCCCTCCTTGACACGGCTCCCGTTCTTGCCCTTCTTGCCCTTCTTGCCCTTCTTCTCGGTCCACCTTGGCGAGCGCCTTCACGTCGCTCACTTTCGATTTTGCCCCACAGTTACCCTCGTTACCCTCTTGATGTCGAAGGGTGGTCCCCGCACGGACTCACCCTACGGACTCCCTTCTTACCTCATTTTCTTGGCCTGCGCTCCCTTCCAGGGGTGGACCGCCCCGCCCAGAGATATTTCTCCGCAACCCTCCTCTCCTACCTTCCACGAGAGCGAGCAAGATAGCGAAATTGAAGAAACGAACGCGTCGCGTCGCCTCGTCACGGATGGAGAGGATGAATGAGAAGGAGAGGAGCAACGAGGGAATTGAAGCGAAACGGAGAGTTTGAAGGGGTAAAGAAGAGAGACGAAGGCTGACGGTTGCTGAAGAGAGCGAGAAAGAGGATAAGAGAGCTTTGGCAGCCACTTTTCTCACCCTGAACGGGATCCGCGACGCCAAAGGAACTCCATTTTCTGGCTACCTACCCCTGCTTAGGGCTTGTCTTTCTCTGTCAAACTTCTCGCAGACTCTTCTTGTTTCATTCGTGTTGGAAAAATTTCTCACCCGAGTGACCCGGCTTTGTGGTCTTACCCTATCTATAAGTAAATTTGTACCAGTCAAACCACGATTTCCAGTCTGCCAGCGCATTTTCGCCTCGTTCCGTCGATTGAACGTTCGATCGACACTTTAAACTTCTCATAAATTGCGACGAAGCCGAAGTGACGTGTAATATCGTTTTTCTATTTTCCTGTTTCAGGTCTGGTTTCAGAATAGGCGAGCAAAATGGCGTAGACAGGAGAAGATGGAAGCCGCGAGACTCGGCCTCAGCGAGTATCACCACGCGGCAAATATGAGGTAATATTCTGATAAAATAGTGCGGATAGTTTCGCCTCGCATTTACGAATACACCAGTTGGTTGAAGTTTATTGTTGTGTCGCAGAAACGTGGCCGGGCCGGCACTGGGTTTACCTGGGGATCCTTGGCTCACTCCCCCAGGACTATTAAACGCCCTTCCTGGTTTCTTGGCTGCGCCTCACACGGGATATCCTAGTTATCTAACGTCCCCGAGACGATTGCCGTCGCCACCGAACGTTGCCACCGTCGCGAACACCGTGCCAGGTAGTCGATTAGAAACGATAAAACACTTTGGCTACAAAAGTTTTCTTTCAAAAGAGGTAAGAAAAGTGAAAGCGAAACAATCGTTCTTGTTAATAGGAACCCTAACCGGAGGGATGACGAGTATAGGAAGCGGTGGTCACGTTCCCGCAGCGCCTCCCAGTCCTCCAGGACACGATCCACGCACAACCAGCATCCAGGCTCTGAGAATGCGAGCCAAGGAACACGTTGAAAGCATTACCAAAGGGTTGCAAATGGTCTGAAGTTTAACGTACAACCGAGGAAGGCAAGAAATCGAATTCGAGCGTGCCATAGCCGCGCATTTAACACCGCGGGCGTGACCGGAAGCAAAACTACTCTACCTTCGACCCTTCAACCGCGGAGAATGTCCAGTAGAAGCCAGACAGATCGACAAACACGTTCCATCGTTCCTTTTTCTAGCTGGTGAACGAATAGTCAATCCCTGGAATCGTTTATTGGTTATCGAAAGAGTACCTAGGAGCTCGACGAGAAAAGGACGATTAACGCACGTTCGAGACGATTCTCGATGGTAATCGAGAAGCAGCAGGCTGGTCCGATTATTACCTGGCTGATTGGTAAATGAAATTTATTCGAGTTCATCGATCACAGCAAGAGGATGATTCTTTGGTTCTATGGAGACGCTCGTCGATGTTCTATTTGTTTGGATGATAAAAAGAGAACCTAGTTGATAATAGTGCAATAAACGAACAGAAACATGGTCAGACTTTTCGTAGTGTTGAGGGAGGAGAGTAGGTGTAAGGTCCAGAGACGATCCTTCTTGGTTAGCAGCAAGAATTACCAAGGACTTCCTGAGCTCAGTAAGTAATATGTTACGTATAGTTCTAATCGAAGGGGTCAAAAGAGAAAATAATGTTCTTTCGAATGTGATGAGGAGACATTTTATTTGAAATGAAAATCTTGAACGTTGAAATTCGATTTGACTTTAACATTAGCATAATTGTTTGATAATCATGTACGGAGCCAGCTGAACAGCGACACGGTGACACGTGTGCTATTTTATTAACAATATTTGTCGCTTGTCCTTATCTGACGACAAGCGACGGAGCATATGTAAAAATAATGCAATTCGATTTTATCTCGAGCAGAATCAAGCGTCGAGTGTGCTATATTTAAAAAAAAGAATGCTCTTCCTGAATTTGCTATCGAATCGTTCGATCGTGAAATTAAAATCGGACTGGATCGAAGTGCGACAAACACTGACAGACTAAAAACCACAGGCGAACTGGCCAGGGGTAGTTGGAAAAAACTCTCAGTGGACCGATAGAGATTTTGAGCCTAATTAATTAAAATTAGGGTCCGTAATGTCACTAATCAACCGGTAAAAATTCCAGTTCGCTCGTGGACTAAACCCAATATTTCTTGTAGTATAGAGACTCGAGGTGCAGACAGCGCATTTTGGCATAAACAATATTCTGCAGTATTAATACGTTAAGGTGAAGAATTGTGCATAAGTACGTAATAAATGACTACGGTATGCAAATTCGATCGCATGGAAGAGGGCTGGCCAGACGAATTCTAAGCTGGAGATATTTTCAGTAAAAAAGAAAAAAAAGAAATAGAAATAGAAATATTGTTTATTAGTTGAAAAATTAATAAATACACCCGAATTTTTTTAATGAAAATTCTTTGAGCATCGTCTTCTGTCAGTCATTTTCCATGCGTGTGAAACAGAAAACAAGTAGAGGGTGAAGAAAGAACGTAGACAGTTACCCACCCCCGAACGTCTATTTGTATATATACCTGCTCGTGGTAAAATAAAATTTGATGTACATATTTAATCACACCACACATCTGTTCCCACAGATAATCCTTCTCATGACGCAATAAAAATCACCATCCCTTGTTCCATCAAGATGGAGTTACTCGTCTTTTTCGAGTCGAACTGTTAATTAAGATTTTTTTTTCGAAAGATTACTGGATTATTTTTATCCTCATTTCTGCAGACACGCGCGATAATAAAGAGAGAAACCGATCTCGAAAACGGTTCGAGAAGAACGTGTCTACGCGGTGGCCGGATTTTTAATTGTTTCCGCGCGAGGCAGCGCGTATTTGTTAAGGAATTAGCATTTCAAAGAACGATTTCAATTAAGGCTTAATTAATTTCGCGGAGAGCGTCGGGCCAAGTTGGCGGCTCATTGTTCGCCTTACTTTTGGCTTAATTGAAATCGAAGAACCGCTCGAGCGAACTCGAGTAGTCAAGGAATCGAGTAAGGAAAAAAGGAGGAAATTATTCAAAATCGTTCAAGGAATATTTCAGATGACTTGCTGGTAATTGAAGCAGACAGTCCAATATTTTAACATTTTTTTATTCGTAAGACAATTTTCTTAAATAAGTAAATTAAAAATTTCATTCTTCTAATTTTATTTGAATAACAAACAACATATTATTAAATTATTAAATGTCCATTATCATTGTCAGTCTATTTTACCTTGTACGAATGAAAAATTTTTTAAAAAAGCAATCGTACAAGGTGCTACGAGTTAGTATCCAAAACCGATGATCAAAATCATGCTGAAAAAGGCCTGAAATTCATCGACGATGCCGTAGCAAGCGTTAACAAAGGATCGTTTGAAAAATCTGCCAGGCTGCACGAATCGGTAGGTAGGGGTTGCCGGTCGCGAAGGGTAGTCGGTTATCTTTTTCGAAGGTGGTGGAAAAAAAAGCGGGCGGATGCAGTGACGGGGCGTGAAAGGATTCGACGTTAACAGCACCAACAACGCCGGCTCGCTGGAACAATAGTGCTGAATGGTCCCTGAACGATTAGGTATTCCAATCGTCGCGTTAGGGGTCGCTGTGAAGTGCGGCAGAGAGGGTTGGAAGGGGCCGGCGGTAAGAGGGTGGCAGAACTCGCCCAATAAAATGGTAATTCCTGTTTGCAGAAGTTAACCATGCGAGCGAGCCTGGAGATTCGAGTCCATGCGTACTCTCTAACTCCAAAGACTAATAATACTCGGGCCGAAGTGAGCTGCCAACAGCGATATAGTTGTACGGAATAAGACGCGAAAACGTGATAGGTTGATCTGGAATCTTCTGATCGGTAGAATTCGATGCGTGAGAAGAGCACGTGGACGATTGAAGTATGGGGAACGCGTCGTGCTGGAAAAATAGGGGCAGGAGGGATCGGTGGAATTGAAGGGGGGTTAGGCATTTACCATGAAATTTTTGTATTATCGTGTCATGGCAAATCAAAATGTAGAATTTGCCTGAGCTATTTCACTTTTTAGTTTCTAGTTTCTAAGGGTGTACGGATACCCGAAAATTCGGTTCGAAAATTTGTTTAGTTCGTTCGGATACCCATGCACCCCTAATAATTTCAATTTTGTTGACGAGATATTATCAAGCAGAAAGGACAGTATACGGCTGAATTTCTGCTTGAGATGTATTGAAGTAACGTGGCTGGTAATTGATCGGAGACGAGCGACCGGTCAGCAATACACGCGTAGATCGTGTTAAGTAACGGCTTCAACGGAGATTGGAGGCGGCAAGCAATCTCTTAAGGGTTGAAATTGGCACGGAAATCGTGGCTTTATTAAATTTGTTTTGGGACAGGTAAGGGGACGAGGCGGTGAGAGCAGGCGGAGGACCTAGATTCTGGCAGAAACGTCGTCTGTCTAATATTGCTCGATGCTTGGCCTGCCTAACCTTATTGCCTCGACAAAGTAAAGAACCGACAAGGGAGCCGAATAAGACCAGTTTAGGACCAACCAGATCAATGAAACACCAAACCAACGGGGCGGAATGCTCAAACAGTCCCGAAGACAATTCGGTGGTTACGCTGGAAATGGATACCCAGCGTTGGCTATGACAGCAATGCTCTCTTCCTGCTTCCAAAGATTGCTGATCAGATCTTGAGATTGAGATACTTTGTTTGTCAATCTTCTCTGCTTGCTTTTGTACATTGAACGCTTTGAGATTCTCTCTTCTTCCGACCGGACTAACATTTCTGGGGTCCGTGGCTATCAAACCTTCGAGGACCCCCTTGGTCGATGAATTATTTTTAAAAATTGAAATTCATATTTGAAGAAATGAATAGGAAGAGGCAACAGTAAAAGAAATTTTATTGAATATTTTTTGACATAGAAAATGGAAAGCAATCCCTAGAAAATGAGGTCCGGGGCTGTAGCCTCCCTTAGGCCTCCCATTAATTTGACATTTAAATGATACAATAAACTATTTCCTGGATTATATAAGAGAGTTTGATTTTGTGCCTAAAAGATTACTGTCTCAAATGAAGGATAAGGAGTTAAAGCTTGTTCATCACCTAAGCATCTTTTCCAAAGATAATTAGACTTGTAAGATTGAATACGATATACGAACCGTACGTCACGCAAACCTTGGATTATCCTTTTAATCAGACATGAAAAATGGAAAGGAAAAGAAAGCATGAAAGAAGAAGAGAGAAAAGGAAAACGAGAAGTGAGGAGAAACCATCGACGCGGCACGGTCCGACTGTTTAGCATTATTAATTAGAGTCAAAGTCATTCTAAGTTGGCAAGTACATAAGCAGAAATAATATTTGCACTGGCGTTCATTAGACGTGGCAGAGGGCACGAGATGGCGCCACAAACGGGTTGGATTCTCATTAAAATAACCTTGCCTTTCCTTTTCGCCCAACTCACCCTTCCTCGACGCGGCAGCCTTGTTCGTAGGAAGAGAGAGACAGAAAGGGGTGGAAAAAAAAAAGAACGAAAAGAAAGAATGAAATGACGAAGGAAGGGATGAACAAAGTGAACCAACCAGCCATTCCTCTTCCTCCTCTCTATCGCCTGTTTCCTTCGTTTTCTCTTCAGTACGCGGGACGAAGATAACGTGGAAAGGGGAAGAACACGAGGAGAGAGACGATGGGATGAACGAGTTACGGGGGTAGTTTGGCTACCACTAGGTAACTTAAATGAAAGTCGCGGTTACCCCCTTAACGCGAAAATACGCTCAGGGAAAATTTCGTTTTTTCACCCTGATTAATGTAATACCCGACGTTGCTGCTGCTGGCCACGCTAATTGGTCATTCTCCGCTCGCCTTTGATTCCCCTTCCTCCGGTGTGGCTTCAACCGCACCTGCACCTCCTCCATCTCTTTTTCTTCCTCTTTCGGGAACATTCTCCCGCGGAGAATGAAAATAAATTTTTGCCCGTATGGTGGATTAAAAGGTAGCCACACACCGACGCGACGCGCGAATCTGCGTTTGAAGGAAACGTATTGCTGTACCGCTACAGGATGGCGGAGAGTTTTCCGCGAAATTTTCATGCGGAACTGGCGAGAAGTTAAAACGAGTTTCGCCGAGAGACAGAGAGGTTTTATTAGGTTTCAATTTAAACGAGGATGATTCAGAGCGACCTCGGTTATAAACGTTACACGTATCGTTTCTCGTCGCTTCTTCTTTTTCAACCCTTTTCTGCTTATTAAGATTATCTATATTGTCTCTGATTCTGTCGTCTCCCTTGTTCGTTAAAGCAGATCTAACTTATGTATATGTTTGTGGAATCGGGAGTGAATTTATAAAAAAATTAAATGTTCAATTTTATATGGAATCAACGTGGAAAATAAAATTTTTCCATCGGCGAGCGAATAAACGATGGAATCGAGCCGTAATAAAATAAATAAATATCGACGTGAACGTTCTAATTTGCCGCGTTACGAAACGCGCTTCGAGGATACAGAAAGACACCTCCAGGTGAAGTTAGGTCTGCATGTACATACACGTGTATTACAAGTGAGAAGACACAATTTTGACTCCTTTTGATTCTATTTTTTTAGAAATCAGTCAAAATTAGTCCAGTCTTGTTGAATCAGTAGTCACTGGAGGATGTAATCCCACGAATAAACGGGCTCGCGAATGCATTCGTGTCGAATAAAAGCTCTGACGGACATGTTCAACCGGAAAAATATAACGACAGAGAGTGTTTTTTTAAATATATTTTTTTGTATATCCATCCGCGACCCCGGTGAAAATATTTTTCGTTTCGCGCATCCCTCATTATAAACATATAATCCACTTGTCCGCCGTTCGACGGCAATCAAAATCTGCATTTCCAGGGAATATATCATTATAATACAACCGAATGATAATCCGTTAAAAGGCTGGCGCTACACGGACACGGTCGGCCGACAATTTTTCAACTCACCCATCCACCCACGTATGCACACCTGCGCATCACTGTACCGCCTCTTCAATTTCACCCATCGACGAACGTTATAAATTGCGACGCAGCATAATAAAAGGATAATAAAATCGTAGGCAGCCTCGTATCAATCTCTTTAATTCTTTCTCCGCGACAGAATCAGAACGAAAAACGATCATGTGATTTAATTTTATGGACCACTGCTCGGGTCAAAAGTTATAATATTATTTTGTACGTTATTTCGTCGCAAATGACTATGGTCGGTACTGCTATCGAGGAAAAGGGTTAACAATATAATTTTGTATCGAAACCCTCTCGTTTAAAAGTTATGCATCTAACTTTAATTTGTTAATACTCTTGTACAAATTTCGTAAGTTTCGATCACGATTGAGCCAAGCTCCGCTGTTCAAGGGTTAATTAAACAATTTCGCCAGGTGGATGGCCGTTGGTAATTGGAAAAAAAAATCGGTGAAATCGGTATCGGTATCGAAGGGCGACTTCCGGCCAGTTCAGAGGTATAGGGATTGGTCAGGAAGAGGGTGGCGATAGAGGGTGGTGGGTGTTTGGGATAGATGGGTGGTGCGGTGTGTGGGGTGGGTGGATCGGTGGAGAAGTTCCGAAATGAGTACCCGTGCAAATACGCCAGGATTGTTTCTGC